GAGCGGGACTGGAACAGGAGCCAGAAACCAGTCCTGAGGTTATGTCTGGCTGGGGTGCTCGCTGCAGGTATTAAGAGAATCCCTGAAGGTTTTCAGACCTCAGCTCTTTCCATCCTTACTCTGGAAACCTAAGTGTGTGTTTTCTGATTCCTGTAAAGTCAGAAATTCCAAAGCCTGCCCCTGGGCGATGGGAGGGCAGGGGCAGCCCCTCCCGTGGGACTGAGCAGTACCTGTATTTCAGAACAAGACACTGTTCCATTAAATCTCCCCCAAAACACAGTACCTGGAGCTCCTCAGGCTGCGGGAGATGGAGAACAACTCGCCCTTCCTCTGAGGGCCCACGGGTGGGAAATTCCTGGCTCTGCTGTGAATGTAGTTCATTGTGCCTTTAACTCTTCTCGTTTAGATGTGCAAAAACAGTACGAATGTGCCAATTTTGGTGAACAGGGGATCACAGTCGGCTGCTGGGACGTGTACCGGCACGACATCGACTGCCAGTGGATCGACATCACTGACGTCCCACCAGGCGATTACCTCTTCCAGGTACAGAGAAAAAGAGGGTGTGAGACACTGCTGTTGCTTTTCTCTTATCCATTAGGGCTGTCGAGACTGTGACTAACTGGTTTATTTGTACAACTCCTATAAACTTCTGCTTACAAAGAAATCATATTCCAGGATCCTAAAAGAGAATGAATTGCCGAACAGGACCACAAAGTGCTCCCAGGTCACTTTAGTGAAAAATCAGGACTGATAACCACAGCTGGGAGATGATAAATCTTGAGAAACCCACATCCAGCCAATCCTTGATAGTCCCAACACAATCCACGTGCAGCTCCTGCTGTTAACGCACGTGGCACCTGAGGTATTTGTGCAGCGTCCTGCTGTTGGTTTGTCCTGAGCTGGGGAGCTGTTGGTAAGCAGCACTCACTCCTCTCGGGGTGAAACAGTGCTATTCTGGTGGTGTTTGCAGGAGGTAAGACTGGGCCTACAGTCTGTTTTGGGCAAGTGGGAGGAGTGGCGGGGGGGGAATTCTTTGGCTCTAAAAACAGCCACTTAAAACTGGAGAGGAGGGAAGAATTATTATTTTTGTCTGCCCTGCTATCGTGTGAAATGTAGAGAAGGTGTCTGAGGGTGTAGCTTGGTGCGTGGGGGAAGGTGTGATCTTGATCTGGCTTTTATCAAGTAGTTTCAGTCTCCTTGCAAAAGGAGTTTTAAGAAAAACAAAAGTTTAAAAAAAGAGTATTATGGTGTAAGAAAAAGCTGATTCTGTCTCAGTCTGACTAGTGTTATATCTAGTCCACCTTTAAATAACTCGGTGCTGCGTTTCTCCATCACTCCCGAGGTTGTCATCAACCCGAACTATGAAGTTGCTGAATCCGACTACTCAAACAACGTGATGAAGTGCAGGAGCCGGTACGACGGGCAGCGCATCTGGATGTACAACTGCCACATAGGTGAGAGCCACGGCCGCGGGGGGCACGGCAAGCACAGCTCAGGTTGTGCCTCTGCCCGAGGAAGCCTCTGTGCTGTCTGTCGCTTTGGACGTGCTTGGAAAGATGAAAACTGACCTTGGCCACGGTGCTGCTCTTGGCCGTAGCCTGTTCAAAGGCAGACAGGGTCAAGCTGCTCCGGGTTGTAAAGAGTGAGGGGGGGTGGGAGG